TGTATCCTTGAGTATTATTCGGAGAAAACCCAAGATAGCTGCCAGTTGTCATAGGAATATATCATTCAAATGCACATAGGTGTCAATTAATGGTACAGTTCAGACATTGATTCCAACATGAAATAAAGCCGTTTGATGTTCAAACATGTTGACATCCTTATTAACCTTACTCTTTATAAATCTGGTGCGTAGCAAGTGTGCATCTTGAGTATTTGAGAAAATTCAAGATTGCTGCAATTCACAATAGGAATAGTACAGTCAACTACTGCCAGAGAGACATTGGGTTCAATATAAAATGAGTTTTGTTTCTTGGTATTTCCCACATTCCTTTTGGACTTTTAGATATCTATCTGGTGGGTAACAAGTGTATACCCTTAAGTTTTTGAAAAAATATGATGATTACTCTCATTTGCCTTAGAAGTGCCTATAAAATCTAATGCATCAGTTTTCCTATGGGGAAAAGAAGGCCATCTTGGATTTCCCCAAAATGATAAAATATGGACATTAATTACCTAACAGATATGTATCATGGGATAATAATACTTAAAAAAAACAGAATAAACACTGAATTCAGCTTCATTTTATTTGTAAGCCTATCTCTAGCAGGTATTAACTGAACCCCACCTTTTATGGCTAATGGCAGCCATTTTGTTTTGTTTTGTTTTCAAAAAGGATACACATAACATTCTCATTACATATGTATTATGTAAATTAAAAAGATGTGGAAAATACTCAGAAACAAACCTAATTTATCAATTAATATTATATCTCCATGGCAGAAGAAGCCCTATGTGTATACTAGTATTCCTTTGATATGGGGGGCATCTTGGATTTTTCTCGAATTGCCTGTGAATAAGGGTTAGTTACTCACCACAAATATATTATTTGTGTAATACAAAATTAATTAGATAGTGGGCAATGCATCTTCCTAGTTGGCATTAGTTAGTTGAAAACCCTTGTACATGTTCTAGTATTCCTATGTCATACGGCGGCCATCTTGGATTTTTCAATAAGTCCAAGGACACTAGTTTGTTATCTGACTCATATGCATAATATGGGTAATAAGGATGTGGAAAACATTGAGAAAATACTTAATTTGATAAAAATCAACATAGATATGTATATATTTCTACAAAATTTCACAAATTGGCGGCCCTTTTGGATTTTTTGGCCAAACGGTAAATTTTTTCCGTGGGCTACGGCTCTAATTTGATTTAGTATGTCAAAAGGTACCCACATGCAAAATTTGGTGCTTTTATCCGCTGTGTCACGATTTGGCCATTTTTTTGCCCTAAGCAACCGGACTATATCATAACAAACGAATGCGACGCATGGACCATTAATAACATCATGAAAAACGATTGGATATAGGCCCTATACGTATGCATATAATTAAGTGAGAGGTTAAGCCAATCATTAATTAGATTAATTGATAAATTTATCAATATCTTAACATGATGAATGAATGAATGAATGAATGAATGACATGACATGATGGATGAATGAGCCAATGGCCAGTAGCAATACTAAATGGACTGTTAGATGAATGCATCGCCGGGTTGATAGATAGAAGGAAAGAAAGACGACTGAATGGATGTATATTAGATTAGGGCCCTAAATACTAAATAAATGAGCGAATTAATTGATTAAATACACATTTGGACCGAGCGTGGATTCCAAGTAACGTATGTAGACCACTCTTACTAGTTTCTAAAACGTCGAAACTTAAGTCGACCGAATCAATCACTCGATCATCCATATAATTAAGAGTCAATTTTTGGTCCTACTTATCTCACTAATTTATCTGCGCCGGTTATATACAGCACAGAAAGTGAACAGAAAATATTCGTTCAAATTTCTTTTTTTTTTTTTTTTTGGATAATATGAAACGATGTCCTCTGGTATTTTTCTGAGTTATAATATTTAAAACGTTTGGTCGGCTTTTGTGTCAAAATATTGACTTCCAGTGTATCTTTACGATGGTAAGCAAACTCAGGGGCGGATCCAGGATTATTTGATGGGGTCCGGTTTTTAGGAAGACAGGCCGCGGATGCGAAGCCGAACCTCGACCCCCCCCTCCCCCCCCCCCCCTTTGCGTGGGGTTCGGGGCCCGCTGAAGGGCCCCAAATTTTTTTGGCATTTAAGAGGGCGAACGGTGCCATTTGATATGATTTAGAACTATGATTTATCTAGTTAAATTTCTAATTTCAAGAGGGGACCAGCGGCGTGATTTCTTTTCAGAAATTGAAAAGGGGGCCAGGACCCCCCTGACACCCCCTCCCGAAATCCGCCACAGAAACATAAGATAGTTTAATAGCTTGATTTATTTTCTTTTTCATCTCTGTGACGAAACACTTAGACATAAAGGTAAATAATTATACAAACGTATAAATGACTTTAAATTGTCGAGATATAAACGGGAGAAACTATTGGATTATGTAAGTTTAGTTCACATCTACATGGTAAAGTCATACGTGAAGATTCAGAAAATTAATCACCAAGCGTAGGAATTTGTTCAATTAATCTATATTCAAAATTAGACTCATCAGAAGTACACCACCTTGATCTATAGATCTAGAGCGATTTGAGCCAGGGTCTTAAAGTAAGATCATTAGCCTACTAGATCAATTAAGTATATACCGAGGTAGGCCTAATTTTCGCTTAATGAAAACACCACTATGACGGCGCCACGCAAACGCATCTACCTGTTTTAAATAGCGTTAAGTCTAGTGTGTTCACGCTGGTGCATTGAATGGGAACTCCAGAGTTTGACCAATCCTCGACGCTTCATCCAATCACCGCGGTCTATCGACCACCGCATTGATCACTCTGCAAGTGTACCGGATTCCAGGTAGAGCAGTACCGTTGTGTTGTGCCGTGAAGGTTCACGTGCCATTTTAAGTGACGAAGACATAGTTGGCTAATTGGACAGACTGAAAAGACGACTTTGGGTCATTGGATGTCTCAAAGTAAGTATAATGAGCAGGTTTTCAGTCATCTGTACGTGTTTGAATCAACTACAAGCTTAAAGCATAGTGGGCCTATTCATTTCAAGAGCTAATTTAACAAACGAGGCACTGATTTTGAATGACATAAAATTGCCTTTGGTTTGATATAACGTGCTGATTAGACACCCTGGGTTTCAGAGATTCCTAGAAACTCAGCTCTCCAATAAGAATGCTGATAATACCAAGTTGGGTTTACATTGATCCCCGAAACTCAGGGTGTTCTACATATAATTACTTCACAACCCGACCCTGCCATATATTTATTACGTTATTACGTTACCTGACAGTTTTCGGATAAGATAAGAAGCACAGGGTAAATGCACAGTGTAAATGGACATAAATCAAGGAAGACGTGCGGAGGGGGGGACCTTTCTATGCCAGGCCTCTCTCTCTCTCTCTCTCTCTCTCTCTCTCTCTCTCTCTCTGCCATGTAAGGGGGTTAAAGACAGTCTAATCGTCGATAGGAAATTAAAGGGAGTTGATGATGGATACTTCAGCCACCTGCAGATTTGTGTTTGCGTGCTCGCGTGCGTCTGTGTGTTTGGGGCTTGGTGTTTGTGGGAAGGGGGGGAGTCGCCCATTATCTACCAGCGATGATCACCTACGGCGCATTTGTATGTAGTAGCCTAATTTACCCTCGTATTTCATGCCACTAGCATTAATGAATCCAATTAACTATCTTGATCAATATGTCCATGTAAGAGTCCACGTCCTTCACAATTAATAAGGCCTACTCGTAGTTATCTATACGATGCCTGACATGACCAGCCACTAGCTTCCAGATATACCATATTCAACACAGGACTATGGCTGGTGCATATGTTTGGTATGTATTGTAATATGTACACAACAGCTAGCAACCAACGCAAGCCGAAAGGTACACAAAATGTAGGGTCTTTGTAGACAAATGGTCACATGCGACTAAAGCATGCAGGCAGGAATGAATATGACATATATGACATGTGTGTGTGTGTGTGTGTGTGTGTGTGTGTGCTCTCGCGCTCGCGTTATACAATATGAAAAAGAAGAATTTTGATTTGTTGAAATACACTACCGCAGCGATGATTAAAAGCTTAAACTGACGATGTGATTCACGCAGTGAATTGAATGCACTTAAGAAAAACTACAAGGTACTGGGGAATACTTTTTATTTACTGGAATGCTGGGTATACCTATCTATCTATCTCACAAGCGCGCACTCACACACACGCACATGGACGCACACACATCTAGGAAATGCATTCCATTCCATCACATGTGCTATTAAAACATTTGTTTAGTTTAAAAAAAAATCGCGCGTTGCAGTAGAAACCGGCAAATTAAACTCAGTACTGGCGTGAACAGTATCTTGAACACGTTCAGATTAGGTGTGCTTCACCAAATAAAACGCTTGTTTGCCGATCAGCATGTGTAATATGTAAAGAAAATACATGTATACCTGTGCTAAATTGGGGCTCATACACGTATCTATCAAAGGCTTAATGCGAGCACCTGTCGGGGTTATCTTTTGTGTTAATTATTGCTAGTAGCAGCTAATAATATGCCTCTCGTTTATGTTGTATTATATACACGATTTATGAAGAGACAACCCCATACTGCAATTAGTAACAGCGGTTGGCGTTAATATGTGAAAATGATACACACAGCATGAACGGGAGTATGTTCTAGCAGCACGAAATATTAAGCATTATTGTAGTTTAAGAATAATAGAAAATGACATCATATTCACCTTAGTGTGTGTGTGTGTGTGTGTGTGTGTGTGTGTGTGTGTTAATTAATGAAAAAACGGTGTCATTTGACGTACCAGCAATATTTAAAATACTTTCTAGACATATTAGAATTTTTAAAGAAAATGCCTGTGCGTTTATGCACTTACGGTATAAATGGATAATAGGTGTCATGTTGAATAAGGAACATCGATCCTAGAACTAAAGTTGTGCTCTAAGCTCAAAAGATGGCGCTGCGTGTCTCCTGTAAGCATAACGAATTTTTGCAAGCTGTTGGCATTAGATAATAAAATACTTGGAAGACATAAACTCTTGTCGTTTACTTGTCATTTACTTGAAACGACCACAATTTAAGTATGAAATAAGGTCCTGTTTTGAACAAGCTTGGTTTTTAACAGAGAATGAAATACTACTTATTCCTTGCCAGTTTGATACCAATACTCCGTACCTGTAGTAGCCTGCCTACATAATTGTAGTACTTATTGATTAGATTTGAACAAGCGCTTTTCTTCTTTTTTATGTGATCAGCTTTAAAAAAAAAAAACGAATCGTGACAGGTTATTAAAGAGCGATAATCATAATCCATCTTCGCATCTTATCAAAATTTGCCATCTGCTCGCCATTTTTAATGACAAGATAGGAGACTTTTTCAAAGCCATTCTTATGTCTTTCTGGCCAATTTTAATTTAGTTTGACTCACCACAATCTTAATCGATTATAGGCCGAACTAGCGTTAAATTAAAAGTTATAATAAAGTATATGTCACATTGTTGAAATGAAAAGACGTGACTGGGTAGGATAAGACAATTCGATCATTATCTTGTGAGGCAAAATTATTTTTTATTCAAGTTCATATGTGAATGTTTCAGTACACTAGGCGGACAGTGATTTTGTATTAAAAATAAACATGAAACATATATGGGAAGACGTAGCACTGGTCCACTAAAGTTATCTCAATTTTAAACAAACCTTCAAAAACAAGATAATGAAGAAAATAAGTATTGGCTCTTACGTTGAAACGGAGATCACGACGGTTCGGCCTTATTCCAATTAAGGGCCTCTTCTAGTGAACTGATGTTGAGTTGTCACCGGTGTCACGTGGTGACATCGGTGACACTTAAAATCCTAAATCCTAATATCATTTTTATAAGTCATCCACAATTGTCCGTTTATCAACTTGACACTTTACACTTTATATTTCAGGCATGAGCGTGTCTTCGGGCCTAGCAGCAATGACCACGGGAGCAGAGCTCAGGGAGCGCGGCCTTGACACCGTCCAGCCGACACCGTCACCGCCTTCAGAGAAACTCATGGATAAGTGGAGAGCGCACTACCAGAAACGAAAGACCTACCAGCCCAGTTTCCATCCATACATGCTCCGCTACGGCCTTCCATTTTGGTTCCTCAGCGCCATGTGCGGGGGGTATATCATCGGGGCCTTTTACGTTTCCCCCTTTTTGTATTCAGAATACGGACCGTCTGTGAACTTGTTTAACTTTTGCCTGCAGACGTTCATGTTGGTGCAAATACTTATCAACTGGTTTTTCGTAAAGACTGTGACGTCATTCTATAGGCCCAGTGACGTAGAATGTGCAGGAAATGATGTAACAGTTTTAGAAACGCCCGTCCATTTAGGACCAGCAAATAAGTGGGCGAAATTGGACAAAGAGAAGAGGAAATATCTAGTCATCGTACAGATAGGAAATAGGCAGGAATTGTTTCCATATTGGGGTCCGAGACCGTGTCCACGTTGTAATCGCCCGCGCCCGCCTCGGGCTCACCACTGCCCTATATGTAATGGGTGCATTTTAAAACGAGACCACCACTGTTACTTTACAGGGAGTTGTGTCGGACTCAGAAATCAGAGGCATTTTATCATGCTAGCGGCCTGGTCTTTTGTGACCTTACTGTATTCTTTCATTCACGTCCTAATTTACATTCCATATTTAGTAGAAGATATTTCTTACTGGGACCTCAATATCGTTGTGGCATTGATCAGGTTTATTTTCAGATATATAAGTTTGTATAAACTCATAGAGATATCGTTAATTTACTCTATGATGATAATAGGCTTTCTGGCTGGCGGATTTCTGAACGAACAAGTAAGGATAGTACGTAAAGGCATATCACAATACGAGTATGCATTTGACTTGAAAGTGATCAACAGAAACTCTACATCACGCAATATCCAATCCGTCTTCGGTGACTACTGGGCCATAAATTTACTATTCCCTGCCCATTGGCTGTTTCCCAACGATATAGATGATGGTGTTTCTTGGCCAGGCGTAAAAGTAGACACCCCGGATCTAACTGATCTCTGCGCCGGCGAGGAGAGCTCGGGGACTGTGATTTGATGTCAGAAATTATTGTTATCTGCAATTGTGAGTAACGTCATTGGCTAAAACATTTTTGATATATGTGCAAAGCTGTTTTATATCTCTTTTTAATTGCGGTTGGTTTCTTTCCAAAATGGAGGACACCATAGCATAAAAAGCAACTGTAATGCAGCATATGTTACACAATAGGTGACCATGTGCCTTATGAAGGTACAAATAACAATGTACTTACTGGTGTCTCAAAGTCAAGAGCAAAAAACAGCATGAGAGCATCAAAGCCAAAAAAAAGAGGCCGATTTATTTCAATTCGCACCTTATATACATGTTCAGATAGTACACGTTTACCAATCAGAACCAATTATACAATGAACAGTTTTACCTTTAAGTTACCAATCACAGGAGAGTTTCGAACTTGTGCACCGGACAACACTTTACTTATAGAGACTGTTGTCGCTTATGACAACAATTTGCGTTTACAATCGTATCACTAGTCAGCTTTGTATTATTATGCAAATCATTTACTCTGTATATATACTGTATGCAGCAGTTCTGGGCGCGGCCACGTTGTATTTGACGAGCGAAGGCTCAGGTCGCCGAGTCTGAAGTTTTAGTAGGCAAAATTTGTGGATCAACATTTGGACGGGAAAGCCACATTTCTCTGTACGTATTGTATTCAATTCTATTGTTAATCATTTGCACAACATTTCCGTTTCTTATAATTAATTCATTATTTCTTTTTATATTTGTATTCAATTTATGTTATATTTGTGTATTTTGTATAATTAGTTTGGTATTTATATTTCATTATTTTGTTATTTTTAGTTTT